GGAAGCCTGGGGCTGGGGAGGATCAATTGCCATACTACTCAGTACCAGCCGCGACAGCTCACTCAAACTCCTTAAGTGGCTCTCCAGCCCAAATAATTGCTCACCCCTGGTTTACTGTGCTGCCTCCCTAGCTGGGTGGTGCAAGTTTCATTGTTCCCACAGGTCTGGTGAGCAATATTGAAAAGTGCAGAATAATACTTTTTACATTTAGTTTTCTTAATGCTTTGAAACCAGAATGGTGGAATGTTGATCCCAAAAACATGGGATAATGTATGCTGTAATAACACAGGTACCTAGCTTGGGGAAGACAGCACATGGTCCATGAAATCTGTAGTGGGTTTATTCTGTCCTTACCCAATCGCCTCATTAATAGTGAACATGATTTTTGAGAGAATTTGGGTGTGTTCTGGGCTAGGAAAGTTTTGTATATTTCTTCCTCTTGACTATGCAGCTGTAGTATAGTGGGTAAGTATTGAACCTTAGCTATTTAGAAACTGTTTATATGAAATAACCTTATTTTCTCCTTCCCTTCTTTCTTTGAAGGATATAATTGATGCTGCGTGTGAAGTTCTAGCAGCTTCCAGCATTCCCCAGCTCTTCTGGAGGACAGTGAGTATGCTTGAGGTTTCTTTTGGGAAAGAAATGGGTTGCCTGTGTACATTCACCTTCCTAACTAGTTTCTAGAAAGGATAGTACAGCTAGTTACAATTTATCTCTCTCTGTGGTTTACCTTTAACTCTCCCTCCTCCAGTCTTTCAAGAAGACAGTCTTAGCTGCACTGTAGGAGGGTGGTCACAAAGCAAGCTTAATGTATATTAAGGAAAGGCTGGGATTGTGAAGATTAATAGTTTCCTTCTGACTGGAACTCTTGCATTAGAATTAAGCGCTAGAATCAAGCGCTACGTTGTTTTTGATCTTGATGCATAGTGGTGTTGGAGGAGAACAAGCTTTTCTTTCCTTAGCAAGGTAATCAGTCTTCATTAGAATTCAGTTAATCCAAACATGTTTGGTTCTACCTTTGTATGTTATATTTGGCATGCAGTTTTTCACCTGAGTTGTACCAACGCCAGTTGCTCATCAAAGTAAAAACAGGTGCTGGAACGAGGCTTTGGACATGATTAATGTCATGTGCATGTTCGTTAGAGAGGAAATTAATGATCACTTGAACCATTTGCTTAATGTAGACTAGTGTAGGGCAGGAAGTATTGGAATACAAGCATCTTACATCACCTCCTAATTCTGATCAGATGTGTTCTGAATGACACTTTGGCTAATCTGAGAAGGTGAACTTTCTGTGAAGTGGGGATAAATGTTACAAATAGATGACTCTGGGACTTCTTCAGACCTTTGAATACTAGGATTTGCAGATGAAATGTAAATACTCCAAATTCAGGAGCCAGAGTAAACTGCTTTCTTCTATTGACCTAGAAAAAGATTCTTGCTCTTTTTCTTTGTAACTGACCTTGTAATGCCTTTTTATAAAGGAAAATTTCCTTATTGTTTTTACCTCCAGGAGCCAACTGCAGGTCTTGGCATTATCCTGGACAGTGTGTGTGGAATGTTCCCCCATCATCTCTCTCCTCTCCTTCAGCTACTCCAAGCCCTTGTGTCAGATAAATCTACTGCAAAAAAGGTATGGAATCTGTTCTGGAGTCTACAAGATGCTTTATTCTTAAACAGAGAAGCCACACATCCCACACTTTATGTTCTGAGCAATAGCTATGAAACGTTTGGCCAGGGAGATATGTACAGGACTCCCTTCAAAGTCTGCCAGAAGGATTACTGTTACAGGTTATAAGGGACACATGCTTTTTTAGACTGATTTTTTTTTTTTTTTTTTTTTCCCCC